ATTTTTTTTGAGTTTGTGTCAATCTGTTCCCTGGTCATTATATTAATATAAACTATCATGCTGCCACCACTGGACACAAAAGAAATGTGAACTTCCATGGCTGGAAAAAAAGTTTGCACTGTTGATGGGTATTGATTTAGTGAGCTTTTCACTGTTACAAACCATAGTGGCTGTCAGAAAAACTGACAAAACCAAAAGATGTAAATTTGCAAGGAAGGATATAATGATGGTTAAATACACATTGAGCAATGCAGTGGGGAGCAATGTAGCATATGATTGAAATATGCCTTCTTTTTCCAGTTTTGTACTTTTTGCACTTGTGTGGGTTTAGAATAATTTATCACAGCAATACCACGTTGCAACTTTGTTACCTTTGTGAACATTTGGATTTTAAAAATTGCTGATATTTCAACAATTGTTTTAAGAATGGCAGAAAATGAGGAGAGTTAAGAAATTGAAATTAAGATAATGGTACTATCTTGTAGAGCATTTGCAAAATGTTCTTGCACTGACACATGGTCTTGAAAAATGATTAGGGTCTGGAGATAGTGAAGAAAAGAGATCTGATGCAAAGAAGGTACAAGTGAAAAGAGGCAGTAAAGCAGAAAGAACTGAGTCAGGTAGTTAACTTTCATAAAAGTACATACTGCCTGATATAAAAATAAATTTCACGAAAAAAGTTTATTTTCCAAAAATATAATTATCAGAAGCATTCAAATGCACACATATAATAAATTCAACCTTTAAATTCAGCATTTTTTGTTTCAAGTCGAACAAACGTATTATTTTGTATCTCCAATTTTATGTTCGTAACAACAATTTGATTTTGCTGGAGTTCTACTAATGATGCTTTGTTGTTGTTTTTTTGCAGCCTAGCACCGCTGCAACTGTAACAGGTGAGCCATGGACTGATGCTTGTCCAGTTTGTTCCATGGCAAACTTCTCTTCAAGTCAAGAAATGGCATCTCATATTGAGGAACATTTCAATCAAAAAGGTCAGTTCTGAAAAATAAGACTGACCATACTTTCTCTTTTACCCAAACACACCCTCTTTTTTAAGATCAAACATTGGTGTGCAGGGGAATTTTCTTTAAGAATCTAATTCTCTGAATGTTTTTGTAAAAGCATAAGTGTGATGTACAAATAACGAGTCTTTTAATGTAAACCTATGTTCATTGAACTTATTGCCATTGTGTTCCCCGTTTTCTGTAACCTCTTGCAATGATATAAATATTAACATGGAACTTTAGTGGAACCAACAGGAATTTTGAGATGGGAAAGTGAACAGAGCCAACATTATTTTGTAATTTTTACTCATTTACTCAAAACTTCCACATTTGAAAGTACACCTATTTAGTTGTACTATTTGCTTATTTTGAAGCCAACAGAAAAGTGATGTTCTGAATATAGAGACAATAATGAACTGTCTCTGTATTCAGAACTTCACTTTTCAGTTTCATTCAGTCACTTTCAGTTAATTTTCTTATTTTCATCAATAGTATTGTTTCAGAAACCTTTTAACAAATTAAACTCAAATTGTAGTACATGACAGGTGTGTTTAAAGGATTTCAAACTTTCATTCATTATTGGGGAAAATGTGTTAATGGAATTCATTATTGTGGGAAATGTGTTAGGAAGGATTTGAGAATCCATTTTTATTTGTTTTGATTTAGCTTGTAAAGCAAAATTGACCAACCTGATGGTTGTGTTTTTTAAAAGTAATGAAAAATTCATAATAATTAGATCAATAACTTGATTCATTGTGAGACTGCCAAAATCAAAAATTTCTGGCTCTCAGATGGTATTCAAGGTGCTTCGCCTGCCACTCCTGACGTCTCCTGTGATCGCATGCTGGCATGCGAGATGGAGAAGCGTGAAAGGGAGGTGCGGCGTTTGCGGGAGCAGCGCGAGTTTGAAATGCTGAGAGTAAGTGTGACCAAACTACTTGCTTTTGACATGAATGTGTTGTACAGTTTTTAAGGGAAAACCTTGTGCTCTCAGCTATTGATCTTAAAGATGACAGTTTAGATTGTATAATAAATTAAAAATAAATATTTGATATTAATAATTATATTAATAATTAATAATAATTTGAAAATAAATATTTTTTTTTGCTGCATCTTCTTTATTTTCTTATTGTTTCTTCATACGTTTCAGTTGTATTATTTTTAAGTTTCACTTACATTACAGTCATTATTGCTCTGCATTCAGTTCTTTTCAAATATTATCTTCTGCTTTTTTCTATTTTGTTATACCTATATTTGTTATATTAATACTAGACATATGTGTAAACATTCTCCACTTTGTACATTATTGTTTTAGAACTCAGAACCATATAACTTACAGGAAATATCACATAACTTGAATCATTGATGAATTTATTGAACTTTCCTAACATCCATTGTTTGTTGTTATTCTCATAAACTTTACTTTTGTTGTTTCTATTTCATTAGTGCTTTTCTTTCTTCAAATCCCATTGTCCCAAAGTCTAATGGCTTTAAGTTCAGCTATATCCTCATTTTGTACTTTCTTCTACCATTCTGCAATAGCTTTTCTAGATCTTTCCTGTTTTTTGACAATAGAATAGTATCATCAGCATAACAAACATTATTTACTTGGTGCCTCCAATTCTAATATTAGCATTTATTTCATTCAATTTTGCTGCTCTCATGATATTTTCTGTCAAAAAACTGAGAGGATACTTCGGTATCTAACTCCCTTGTTAACTGTAAATCAATCAGTTTTGCCCTTATCTAATTGGTCTCTTGCCTCCTCTGCTGGTAAGAGTTACTATTTGCCCAGGTATGCTATTTTTGGTGAGATAATCCACAATAGATTATGATCCACACAACCAAAAGCTATGGAGTGATTCAAAAAACAAACGTGGAAAAAAAAATTTTGAATTTCCCAGATTTCATCTGTTATTTTCCAAGGGTTGCTATCTGATCACTGGTTCCTGTGCACTTTCTGAAGCAAGTTTGCTGTTATTTCATTCTTTACTTGTTAAAGAACGTGATGTCCTCTTTTGGAAATGAAGGGTGTCATCAGTTCTTGTACTGAAACATTCATCAAAACTTGGATCCTTTTCATTCCATTGTTGAGAACTCCCATCTTTTTAATGTCTTGTCTGGGAGTTTAAATAATGTCATGACTGTTATTAGATATAGTATAACTCAAACACCCAAATTTTAAAAATATTGCTTTGTACTTTTTTGTGTTTATTGAATTAATATATCAACACCTGTCATAAAGTCATTAAGAAAACACATTGGAATTGTTTTGATGGTCCATCTGAATTTAATGTAGCAACATTAAACATGTGATAATCCTTAGCTGTGACATCAAAACTTCAGAACTACTAGCCATATCACTTCAATATATATGTATATATAAGTCAACCAAAACAATAGTTGTATCCTGCATGTTTATGAAAGTTTCTGAGTCGTATGTTCTTTTTTTGTGTTGATGACTGCCTTTATATTTCTTCTTTTTTTCTCTTTACTGACTGACAGAACTGGTTATTTTCAAAAATGTAACAGTGAGTTCCACCATACAGATACACAATATTTAATGTGGATTTTCAAGTTGAAAGGTTCATCTACCAGAAGTGGAGCCACCAGCTCTGGAGAAGTTCACAATTGTTTGATTAAATGTTAGCAAACCATTAAGATAAAATTTAAAAAAATGTTTCAAATCTGAAAACTTAATGTATTTACAAGGTTGATACTTAATAAATATTTCTCCTGAGCATGAGCATATGCATTGGAGAGATCAATGGGCCTTGGCCCAACATTTTGAAAGGGGCCCTGAAGTCTTTAGCTGTAAAACATTTTATTAATGGGAATATGTTGAATCTCTGATTTCACCCTATTTTCACCTGTCAGTTAGTGGAATTGTTGTAAGACATTTCTGGAAGAGGCTCTCCAAACCATCTGGCAATCCCTGTGAGTGGTTTGACCTAAAAGCAATTGGTTTATTTTTTGTATCTTTGTATCCTTATAGTACAGAACCGTATTTTTGTAGTATATTTTATTTATTTACAAATAGAATGAGCATAGTATGTAAGTAAAAATTTTAATAGAAAAGGAGGCCCAGAAACATAGTTGGCCGCTGCCTCTTGTTTCAGGCTGTGCGTGCCTGGGGTTGTACTTGGGGTTAATGAAAGTGACTTCTGTTGTTGTGTCTTAGGCCCAGTATGGCATGGACAACCAAGGCAACTTTCGGGAGCAGAGTCTTACCAACATGCAGAAGGCTGTGTATGCTGGTGAGATGTCTGTCGCCGACTATTATGAACGCCAGATTGAGCTGCGGGCAGCTGAGAGTAATGGCGTTGATGATGGAAGCTCTTGTACCAAAGGTGTGTAAACCAGTTGATTCAAACTGATATAAAATAGTTCTTGGACAGAAATATTGTTATTCAATTGAAGTGTGGATGTTAAATTGAAGATAGGTTAAAATGTAGTATTTGGAAATAAAATGTAACTTTTATGTAGATATTCCTGTAAGAAAAGAAAGTCTCAGCAGTATAATTTATAGAATAAATTAAGGTTTTAGGTACTAGTAATATATTCTTTTTAAATTCTGATTTAAGTGATTTGTTTCCAATAAATTTTTACAATAATCCATATACCACTGAGAACCAAACAGCTCAGGATCTTCCATTGTTTGGATGGATGCTCTTACCAACTGAACGTGTGTATTTTAGAAAGAACCCCGTTGAATCCCAGTCCCGATGCTGTTTGATGTGTGGTATGACCACAAGCTGCCCCCAATAACTACTAATCTCTATACCCTTGACAATTGTAGAACACAAATATTTAAATTGTTAATGAAAATTATTTTCAAATTCTGCATGTTTCTGAGGTTGTGTTGAAAGAAACAGTAAAAGATAGGATTATGTCTTATATATATTCCCCCTTATGCGAATACCACGAATTTGCCAAAATTAAGATTTTGAGATATGTGTATGGCTGGCATCTTATTTCAATGATCTATCTTTTACAAGAATCACAAATATTGTATTTTATTCTTTGGTGAATTACAGAAAGTACACGTTTTACTAATTTTTTATGTCATAAAAACTAATGTAACACATTTTTGATTTTTTTGACTTGTTGTTTACATGTATACAAAATGTATATCATGAATCTGTCGATATCACAAAAATGTATGTCACAAATTTCGATTTTTATGCGTAAATTAAAATGTATCTGTTGAATTTTGTATCATACCAAAACCACAAATGTGACAAAAACAAGATATAGAGGGGGAGTGTAATGACATTTAAATTTACATTCTGTAATAAACATTATTGTAACTACTATGTGTATTGACACACAAATATTTTGTAAATATGTAATTTTCTGTGGTCTTCAAAGTTTCCTCAATTGCCTTTTTTTCAAAACTATCAAAATGCATATTCGTGGTTTTGGCATATAGGGAACAATATGATAACTCCACAACATTCTTTTATTTTGTGAAAAATTGATCATGCTTTGTCAAATGTGAATAAATAAATAATTTTTTTAAAAAATTAAGATATAAAGAAAGAATTTTTTTCTTGCATACGTGAATAAAACTAACTTATATATTCACTTATATTTGTACAGGGCTGGTTGCTAAGGTCCGAGCCATTAGTGGAAACTCACCAAATGTAGTCCGTGTTCTTACTTGTACCACCGTGGACCACTATGCTTCCACATATGGGGATAAAGGTTGGGGGTGTGGATACAGGTGAGTTAGTGTAGCTTCACTTCACTTCAAGTGTTCAATCTCAACCTAATAAATTCCCTTCCACGTTTTTTTATTTTAAATTATTGTAGCATTTTAAACGTGATTTGGCCTTGATATTTCTCTCAGAATATTGAGGGGGACAAAAAGAAGAAAAAGAAAAACACACAGGAACACAGGCGCAAGCACAAGCGCGCGCGCGCATACACACACACGCACGCGCTCACACGCGCACGCACACACACACAAGCACAGGAATACCCAGAGGGCTATTGATGTCACCAACACTACTAATTACACCAGGCACACAGGCTATTGATTAAATCAGGGCGCCTGATAATTAGGGTACAGGGAGGATTGCTAATATAGGAACAGGCCGCTACGTGATTGCTAATATAGCCAACAGGAACAGGCAATAGGCCTTTTATTCTGTAGTTGATGATGAACATCAAAAAGTTGGTGTAATATTCCCAATCAACAACAATTAGAATTAGAATGAATTATCTCGGCAGGTTATCTGTTGTATTGTAACAGTGTGCGATTGTGCTTTTGGCACAAAATTGTAAAATAAAAAATTGACCAATATTTTCAATTTTTAAATATAAATGTAAAAAATGTTTGTTCTTCACTCAGCATTAAAAATATATAAAATAAAAATTCAAAAGTTCAAGTTCCAAAATTTGTAATTTGAAATGTCCTTCAAAACTTGCATGTTTTGTCAATCTTGATCTCAACCCAATTTTGCTTTACTACTTTGTACATGTTTGAGAGGAGCTTTTTTCATAATTATTTGATTGTTTTCAAGGGATTTCTTTCTGTTGTTGACATTTCCTGACTTTGCTAGCGATTCTGGGAACTGAAAATCATGGGAAAACCATAAGAATCCAAGAAAAACAAATAGTCACCAGGAAACTTTGTGGATTTACTTTTATTATTTATGGTTTTGTCATCATCTATTGGTGCATGCCCAAATATGTAACGTAGTCAAATATATCATAATAGTGCCACTATATACATATCAAATTCCTAATCATAAAATGTGATGTAAATAAATTGTATGTAGAATTAGAATACTTCATGAGTTTGGAGCATAATGAACATTGTACAAAGACAAACTTGGAAAGTATATGTCTGAAGTCTTGAAAACTTGAAATACAAAAAGTCATTTTCACTTTCAACCCTTATACAATGCAGTGCTGAAATTACTTTTCCAGGAACATGCAAATGATGCTGTCATCTCTTCTTCACCACACGGGTTACAACGAACAGTTGTACCGGCCAGCGGGGGGTTCCAGCAGCAGCAGCCAACGCGCAGGCGCGAGTGGTTTGCTGGATGCCGGTCCAAGTCGGTCCGCCATGCCCTCCATAGGCCGGTTGCAGCAACATGTGGAGTGGGCATGGGCACAGGGCTTTGATGTCCAGGGCTGCGATCAACTGGGTGGGCGCCTCTTCAATACACGGAAATGGATCGGTGCTACTGAAGTGGTAACTGTGCTGTCTTCTTTGCACATACGGTAAATATAATAAAAGCCCTTGAATGTTCTATCAAACAATTGGTGGTCAAAGAGGAAATAATTATGAAAGAACAATTGTAGATATAATTGTCAAGTTCCAAAAGTATCAAATCCAAATGAAATCATACAAGTAAATTGTGCTGCGTTTCAATGCAGAATTTTAGTTTCCAAAATAAAAAGTATGAAGTATGAATATTGGCAAGAGAAGTGTAAAAATATTGTGGTACCTCCATTAACAAATGCAAATTTGTCTTTTCTTACTGAAAAGTATCTGTTTCGTAAGTTTATTGTGTTTCCTTACTTTGACATTTCTGTACAAGAACTCTAGTTTAGGACATTTTTAAACCCTAGATAGGTTTTGAGTTGAAAATTTCTTATTAAAAGGAAATGATTGACATTTTTGTTTTTATGTTTGTGTGGTTAGGAAAGGATTGGAGCTAAGTTACATCTGATAAATTGCAAAAATTATTTTTCATATTAGAATTCAAGTAAGTGAGTCCTAAGAAAATTCTATTGTGAACCTAAGTGTTATTGTTCTACTATGTGACAGTGTTCAAGCAAACATTTTTATTTCTCTTAATTTATATTATATTGAAAATACAACTTTGATTTAAAGTCTTACTTCTCACTCAAGGTGCCAGTTGGTTGATTTTCACCGGCCTACTGGTGTTGATGGTAGTCATCCAGCACTTTTCAATTGGGTGTTTGAATATTTTGATCGAAGTGATGATTTCAAACCACCTCTCTACCTTCAGCATCAAGGTGAGTATTCTGTAATACAGGTTTACATACAAGGATCTCTGACACACCTGAAGTTGTATTTTGATAATTATAAGACTAATGTTATATTAAAAATAAAAAATAAAAATAAAAGTTCTCTTTTTTTAAATTTTTTGAGGGGATAAATTTATAGGTCTCTGTGAATAGAAAATTGTTATCAACATTCATTTTTAGTTTAAGTTAATAATGTGATTATCAAAAAAATATTTGTATTTTATTTCTCCACCCTTTCATTCACTTTGTTGCAGTTGTGGAACCTTCCCTCCCCCCTTGTATGAATTTTTTGAATGGTTCTCAATTTGTTGTTACTTTCACAGAAAACTGGACAAGCTGGTTCATAATTGCCCTACTCAACTAGTTTTGTGTGGATCTTTGAGCATATTGTGATTCAATTTACGATTTAATCAGAAAGACGATGACATAAATAAAGACTTATTTTATCTGTGTGTGTGTGTCTTTTTCTTTCTCAATCACAGGGCACAGCCGCACCATCGTCGGCGTGGAACAGCATAAGGATGGGACGTTAGTGCTGCTGGTGTTGGATCCTAGTCACAGTCCAGCGCAGATGCAGCAGCTTCGGAACACAGCCACCGGACCCGCCGCAATGCGTCTCATCCGCAAAACCCTGGCCGCGATGAAAGCACGTCAGTACCAGCTTGTGGCGGTGGCAGGTCTCATGGACTCTGAACTGGAGTTTCAGGTAGGATGTTGCTGTAAATGTTTAGTCCTCAAATGAGAATTAAAGTTTATGGAGAGGAATGACTTTAAGGATTGTATTTGTATTATTTCAAGAATACTATGGCTTTCTTATGCTGCTTTGTATCAGACACAGTAGCTTTTTATAATTAAATCTTTAGGGAATAAAAACTAAGAAAATTACTCCTTTTAGTGATTTTGAAATCTTATGAACACATAGTACGAGTAACTTGCCCAAATGTATTTGTTGACCCAAAAAAAGAACTGACCTGGCCAATTCTTGTTTCCATGTCCCAAATGTTGATGCAACAATAAGCTGCAAAGACAATAAAAATATCACACAAATATATAATATGTAGTAACTTAATATATGTAGCAGCATGTTACCCGCGAAACAGAACAGAACTGTACCAGTTCACAGTTCACATCTCGATCATAAGGACATTGAACGGTGCAAATTTTAAGTAAATTATGTTGAATGCGAAGGACCACTTTATGAATCTGAAGCCACGAATAAGAACAGGACAGGAAGAAAATCTGATGACACAGAAAGGAATGTTTAGGTGGCATCATTTGAAAAACTAAAGCAAATTCAATGTGCAAAACTTTCAGACCAGCCTATAAAAACTCAGAAGGCAATTCGGTACGGGAGGAGGATCAAAAAGAAACTATGGTAGGACATGTAAAGATGAAGAGGGTAGTTACAAAAATCATGATTATGATTTTAAGGAACAAGAAAGTAGAGTTAGCACAGCCATGAGTTGTATTTTCATCCGCTAGACAGTTTTCTAGTCATGAAGAGCATTTTTATTTTCATTAAATAGTTAGAATATGTTAAAAATTTGAAATATCCTCATGAGGCCTCTTCAAAATCAGTCTTATATTCGGGTAAATACAGGTAATTACTACACTATCCTGAAAAACAGTAAATTTGAGAACTAACATAGGGCATCATTAACGTGAAAAATAAACATGCCATTATTTCTTGTTTGTCCTTCATGCACGTTTGTGTCAATGACAATGAGTAGGTATACAGGAAACATCAACAATTATGACCAAAAAAAGACTACATTTTATGTTTCGCAACATTGCCTCTACTTCACTCTGGTCAATTATTTTTCTGATCAACTAATATATTACTTTTATTAGTATTATTTATAGCAAAATTGCAGCGTTATTTCTGTCACTCATAAACCTGTAATTACACAGAATGCTGAAAATGGAGACATGGCAGCAGTAGAACCTTGTTAATCCATTGTGATGAGAGTTCTGCTTAGATTAGCGGTGTTTGGACCTAAAATCTACTATAAAACAAGAATCAGAACATGACTAAAAAATTAGCAGATCAAGCCCTTAGATGCTACTTTGCCTTTGAAGTTGTCCTTCATGTGACGAGGAAGCAGGAAGACAGCATTGTTTTTTTAATAATAGCAGGTACTGAGGGCCTGTAAATTGAAGATTTATGTACCTTTGACAACCTGTATAGATTCCAGCAAAACTGTAAAGATTTATGTCCCTGTTTGGAATATTTTTTTTAAAAGATTAAATATTCTTAAAAACCAGATTTAAAAAGAAAAAAATACTTCCTGGTTTTGGATATTTCATTGCATGACTCTGGTATTCTATTCTTTCCCAATTTTTTATTTAACAGGGTTCTACCATACCTGCTAATGACTCCACTGGAAATTATTGCAGTTTGAATTCTATTGGTGATTGCTCTTGGATCTGTGGGTGATGACTTTTTGTTAGCTTGTTTGCAGACATTTCACCCTTTTATGAAGCTTAAATGCAAAAGCACCAATAAGATAATTGAAACATTTACAGCCAGTCCACAAGACTGTGTTTCCTGGACAGCCAAGAAACCATCACCATAGAGATTCCATAGACAACAACTTCTCATTTTTGTAATGTTTCTTGTTTTTTCCAGCAAAGCAAAATACTACGTTCCATCAGGGTGCCGCAAGATCGATGATAGTGCAGAGCGTCGCCTTGTGCCCACTCACTTTGTCAGCTGTCCCACTGCAGGTTTGAGTTTTGTTTCCCAGTTCACCCACTCTCCACCGATAACTCAGCAAATCTACATACTCCTCTTATTACTACCCAGCCACTCTGCAGCCGGAAGACATTGCTGCGAACCACACTCGCTGCTGCTGTTAGTTATTCAGTTTTCCCCCCCGTCGGCCCAACGTCTCGCTGCTGTCTGTGGGGCCTGGACGAGAAGCTCTTAAACCCCCACATGGGAGAGTATGGGAGCAGGCTTTTGCTGAGTGTATCTGCTCTCACATCTTTACTACGATGAAATACAGCGCTCAATGCTGTGGGTTTTCTGTTACGGTCTTAAGTTAATGTCGCTTGATGTTATATATGCTTGCCAAAAGAATTTCATAAAACTGACAACTGGCTGTGTGTGCATTTTTCTTTGTTATCATGTAAATGATGCACTTAAAAATTGTGATCTCAATGTGTATTTTTTTTTTTTTTATTTAGAAATTTATAGATATTTTGATGAATTCTGTGATATTTCACTGTACGTTTTTCTTTCATTTTATTAGAAAGCAGAACTGGTGTTTTTGTAGATTTTTTTTTCCTTTTTTATGTTTTATTTTGTTGTGTTTTTGGGATGTTATTTCCATATCATCATACTTTAATTAAAGCAAGCTGTTATCTATGCGTTTTTCTGAAGGTTTGTTGACATGTTTTGAGAGCATGAAACTGAAATTTGTCCTGCATTTGAATATGAAGTTTTTGTTTATTTACTTTACTTTAAGTGTATTTGTGTTATTAATCCAAATTATTCCAAACCCAATGTGTGTCTTTAAATCTTGTTGTGGGAGCAATTAGCCAAACCTCACAGACCACCTGTAGCTCTAAGCACTAGACAAACATCGTACAAATTAATTTTCAAAAGCTAATCTAGATACCGTATTTAATAGTATTCTATACTGTTGAGTCATTATAATTTTCATTTAGAGATTTTGAGGCTCCTTAAAATTACACTTTAGCCAAGCGTAATATAATAGGCAAAAGAGAAAAGAGACAGTTGTCTCGCACGTTGAACCAAAAACTTGGATAGAGAATAATTGATCTCAGTCACATCATCGAGAACTTCCATTGACTGCCATGATGAATAGATAGATTAAACTGCTTTATTTCTATGTGGTTTCTCTGGCTAGCAGAGTTCTAGTTGCAATGGTTTCTGCCAAAGGTATAGAGATAGTTTCTCCCTGAAAAACGGCACTTCAAACACCTGCTACCAGAGGTATTGTCATGCAGCCCTGCAATACTTGACTCTGTGGTCAGACTGTTTTAGTTACAAGAAACAATTTGTTATCCTCTATCAATGTACATACAGTGGACTCTTGTTACAGTTAATGAGTTTTTAATATTCTCTTCTGCAGAAACTGCCCAATCACAAGCTACCGTGTTCTGTCACTTAGAATTGAACATTATCACACCACCATTTTTGGTGTATTTATCTGTTAGGAAGAGTAGCACAAACTTACATGTGAGAATAATTGTATAAAAGCAGAAGAGAATCATTGACGCCTTTTATATAGGAACTAAGTGCAGGGTAGATATTGCTAGGTTTAATCATTGCATGAATTATAAGACTCATCCCAGAGGAGATGCATTTGTGGGTGCAAGAAAACACACCATGTTACCTTTTGTATCCCTCTGCACAACACTTGCATTTTGCACTCACACATGCTCTTCGCTTAACCCCTGTTCTAATTCACTCATCGTAATAGGCTCAAGCAATACAATTTGTACATGCAACGAGATGTTTCAGGGTAGGTACTCCGTAAGTGGTGGACGCGGTGAGCAAGGTTCCTCACATAAACGTGCAATTTGTTTGGGAATGATGCTCATGTAACCCAGATAAGAAATAAGTTTTAGTGCAAGTCGGTAGCAAATGTCCTTTTGCTGGCAGAAATGTAGGTTATAAATTTGCCTCAAAACTTTAAAATCGTGTAATAGTTGTGGAACAACTTCAGTTATGTTAAGCAGTTTTCTATCACCAAATGCTTTTTGAAAAGTACTCTTAATTTTTGGTGTGCTCCTTTTAATAGGACTTCAAGAGATTTTCTGAATTAATCTTCGGGTCATGAAATATCCATAGATTGCATGCTTTAATAGGAAACTGTGGGTACTTTTAAAATATAAACTTAAACAGTTGTTATTGTACCTTGAGATTTACTGCTTAGCATAATGCTTGTTTCTCACAGCTTTCCCCCTCCCCCCTGCCATCTCTATTCTTGCAAGTATGCATGAATTGGCTAACAAATCTGACACCATCTAGACATAGTATATTCTCACCCAGTAAAAGTAGCGGGTTTATGATTCTTGATATTTCTGAATCTATAATGCCAAGCTGTATTTTCTAAATTAAATTTTTACCTTATGACTCTTTAATGTATCTGTTGTATCCAATGTGATATCGGCTTTCGTTGTAAATCTGTTCAGTGTTTGTGTTCTTGGTCTCAGCGAATGTGTTTAAAGGGCTGTAATTGTGCCTTGCTAGGACTTAAGAGAGTCTTTAACAAACGATTTTTATGAGACATATATACTGAACATAATGTTTCACTATTAAGAGTTTTATCCATTTGTGTTATTTGTTGCAATAAAATTGTGCATCAGATTCCTTTCATTTGAGCATTTTGAAAAGTATAATCCTTCAAATGTTGTGTTTAATCATCTAAAACCATTAATATTACAAAATCTAAAGTCTATTGCCTCAACCGAAAAGTTTGTATTATCCATTATTTTACCTAAGCAAGGTACAGAACAAAGTGAGAAGTTCACCGCAGGTATGACTCAAAGGAGAATTGTGTTCAGTGTGTTTGTTGTGAGATATTTATAGATTGATTTAGCTGAACAGTGAAATCAGAAAAGTTGCAAGGCTTACAACCCCTAGATTGTTGGGCATTGTTTCCAAGCCTGAGGCACTTGGCTTGTCACTAGTAAGGACTCTTGCACTATTTACCAAAGGAGTCCAGACATCCTTCTTTAAATAGCCTCTGTCCAATCAGCAAAGAGGTTTCTTCCAAACAGTGAATTTAAACTCAACTTGTGCATTTCATGGGGCCAAGGATGGAAGCAATGGTATCGCAATCGCTCTTGATCGTCTCTGCAGTTACTGCAAAAGTAGCGATCAAATTTTTGTAGATTGCTTGCTCACCTTTCTCCCTGATTATTGTATGATTGAAATGACAGAACATAGTATGTGCAGTTTTCCTCTTGAATACAAGCTTTTTTCCTCTGTGCCTTATGAACAAATTGGAATAATTATTATCGTTCATTGTGAACACCATGTCAAAATAATGTTGAACTGTTTCATATTTTGGTATTGTGCAAGCTGTGGGCAGTTCGTCCAGGCTAGTGTTGTAACTTGGTATGTTTTAGTACCTCTCCTAATATCTGACCTTGCTAGTTTGTGTAATTTCGTTGTATACCAAAGCTACATTAGCATCAGTAGTGGTGCAAAATGTAAAGAGCCCTGTTCATCAATAGCCTCACCCCTTACAAGAATCACTCAGAAGTAATATGTACTAAAATATTACATTATTGTTAAATTTATTTGCGTTGCTAGAACCATTGAGACTAAATTATTTGGTAGAATTGTGAATTATTGTAGATGTACATGGCTCTTCAGCTTTAATTTATCTTTAGTGTTACGATTTTAATGTTCTTTTTTATGTATATATCTTTTTTTTTTAATTTATCAATATAATGTATTGCTTCCTCCCCTTCTCTTGGAGTGTCCAGATTCTGCAATATTCAGGATTTTCATAAATTTGAAACCTACATATTCAATAATATTTCTATCAAGTTGTGTTCATAACTACTCTAAAATAAATTTAAATCATTGTATATTTTTCACTTTATCTCAAAGAGAAATTAACTTGTTCACAAAAGCTACTCTGGGAAAGCAAATATTTCACTTTTTCATGCCAGTCCTTATAGATCTAGTCATTTGTGCTACGGAACACCATCACAATTATTCCTGGATGTTTTTTTTAATTTTTAGGACATCAGCTTTTACAGTTAAGCTTTCCTGTACTGTTGACAATTTCCACTGTGTACAATATATTGATTTTCATTACTCCAACACAAACTCAGGTTACATTTGAAATCAAAGCAATTGTATAGAAGCAAAAAAATAACTGTTGTAACTGAAAATGTTTTTGTCTTTGTCAAGTCTGTTGACCTTTAATACCCCCTGAGAACTGTTCATGTTATATTTCGATGATGAAACATTTCCTCAAGTTGCAATTTCAAATTTGCTTCATGCAATGTAATCTCCTAATTTCCTTGCAATAATGTCAAATGAAAATGAAGTATGGGTTGGCGGTGTTAAGAACCAACATCAGCCAATTTCTCAGTTCCGCATATCTCCATTGCATTGATCAGTTCACATCAACTGGCACAACAGGTATTGGGAATCTGCTTTTCTCATGAGAAAGGTTGAGACGACAGGGAAAAAAGGAAATTACTGGAATAGATATTTTTATAAGCTTCAAAACACCAAGAGAGAAGAAAATGTGTTGATATCTTGTGTTGAATTTATTTAAGAGATTTTATACATCAGTGATTTGTCAGAAAATAAATTAGGTATTTCTGCTTGCACAGACTCAAATGAAATGAAGCATACAACTGAGACATTACAATGAGAGGCTGTAATACTAATTACAAATCACAAAACAGGGGAATCGTGTAACGCCAACAGTTCTCTGTTAACAATCCTACAATGTAAAATTGTGTGCTGACACACAACCTATCAGTTTAAATAAATATACAAGAAGAAATTTGTCTTTCATTTCCTTGTAAATACTGCAATAACTTAACATTACTACCCCACTACAAAACTGTACATGACTGTCTTTGAAGAGTATTTGACTGGTTCATATAGAGAATGAGAACATCAAACATTAAAGCCATGCCGCCTCATACATTCTTTATGTGCTTCAATGTAGTTCTTGCAATTCGCTTCCCCGTTTTCGATGATACTGCAAATGTTAATAATCCCATTAGTTAAGGAGTCGAGGAAAAACAATACTACGCATTTAACAAGAAATTAGCAGCACTTACCAGGCATCTCTCGCTTTTTTCGTTTCTGGACATGCACAACAAGGTTTTAATTTCTTTCCGTCAGATGAAACGGGAGTGACAACCGCAGTCTCGGTCTTACTGCTTCCACTACCCATCTTTACTCCAAGCGAATTTGATTTCCTTTATTACGAAACTATCTATACACTTGCCTTTGAGACCTATGTTGTCTCAGCCAGATTCCCGTTCGCTCGGGTGACGAATAACCACGCGACCTTGCACACTGTGCGTCAATGCCAAGTTATAGCAATAGCATTGGGCCAGGTAGGACAAAGATATGATTCACCAGACGAGCACATGCGCGAATATACCGGAGGAGAGCCGTATCTCTTTATTCCATGAGAGAGATGAAGGGCGACCTTTGCCTGAAAATTCAGTGTCGCCACTCAAACGTATATGTTGGAGCAATGAGAGTAACTTATTATGACATTATTCAGTGGATGAAATTAACGTCAAACGGAATAAAATAAATTAATAAATCCATAATTACCAGAATTAACTCTAAACCTTTTAAAATTTGTTAAAGGATATAGCTTCTATTTATACATTCGTAGCAAGTGGCATTGAAAGTATTTAGATAGGGAATGTCGAACAAATTTGGCTAATCTGGTTAATGGAGGATTTGCCATTTGAAGGACTACATACGTACCGCGCTCTTGAAGACAATCGCCGCATCAGGATCGAGCGTTCCAGTTCCGTAATTCTGTGTTTCTGTCACAGGTGACGCAGGGTTGCGATTCGCTTCCGAAACTGGTTATCGTAATAAAAGGTATGTCCAAAGATTTTGCAGTGGTGCATTAACTTGTGTTATTCTTCCATGATTGCGATGTTGGCATCAATAATTCGGGTAATAAAAGAATCGATTTGCCTATTTCGGCCTACATCTGTAGCTGATGTGATACGTATTTGATCATTGTTATTGCGGTAAGTAGATGCTTTGTTGTAGGCCAATCGTTATAAGTGTGCTTGTGTTTGTGTTCCGCAGAGAGCCGCGAAGGAAATTGAAAGGAATTGTGATTTCACTTGTTTTACTGGATATTTCATTTTAGATAATTTTATGGCACATTTTTGGAGAAAGTACGTGAACTTGTAATGGGATATTATTCGAAGGACGGAATATCTTTGGTTTATGTGAACTGGAAGGCATTGTTTTTGCGTCCATTGATTTAATGATCATGCGATATTCGTCTTACCATATTTGTTATCATGTTCGAATTTTAAGTTGAGGTATGTGGAATTTCAGTGTGTGCATATTATTATTTAATATTTCAGTTAATTTAGAACCCCTTTAAGAAGACACCATGAAGGTTAAGTTAGTTAATTCGGGTTTTTGATCTCTTTTGTTTTCTTGTGTGATCACTGCAAGATTTGATGGCGATTCGATAGCTTTCACCTATGTGGAATAGGATTAAAACCGTTGTGAAGGTAAATATGTGATATCCATTCTTGAGATACGTTAATGATTTTTATGTGAATAACGAAGAGTTCTCCATCAAAAAATATTGAATTATGATAATGTAGGTTATGTTACTTCAATATCAAAAAAGTTCGTTCGGATCAGAAAAAGGATGAAATTACTTATATTCTTCAATTCCACGGTTTTAGTTTAATTTTCTTTATTCCTATCTAATCACGTACAACATATGCGTCTTGTAAAATTTTATCCGCCAATTTTTTTAAAAGCGTATTGCCTTTCATGAGTACTGTTCAGAACAGTTGTTAGTGTGGTACTATTCCAAACAGCCCTTTCCCGCTCTCCAGACATTTTGGCGCCTCCATTGCAATATGAACCCATGTTTACTCTTCATTGCAGAACACGCCGCAGTGCGGAGGCGGCAAGGTGAAGCGGCATTGAGAAGAAACTGGCATCATGACAAATGAACCCACCCTCCCCGTGAACTTGTAGCGCTAAAAAAAGAGGAAAGGAGCGAGCCTGCAACCATGGCTACACCGTACGTGATGTCCAAAGTGCCCACGTGCTACTACCCGTGCGATGCGGAAACGGACCTGCCGGAGTGTTGCAAGGAAGCGTCGTCGAAACCGCGGTACGCCTACTGGTGCTCCGCGTGTAAAGTGGAGCCGGGCGGCGGCGGCCACCATGGCACGGCGGCGGCGCGGCGGCGGCGCAGCCTCAGCGAGACGGCCGAACCCGCGGACCCCCTGCGCGAGCAGAACCACCGGGCCGACCACTGGAAGCGGCCCGTCAAGGTAGGGACTACCCACGGGTGGTGATTTAATACACAAGCTGTCGGGAAATGGATTGTCCCTGAGTGCAGGTATTTGATTCCACCAGGATCCGAGCCGGGGACCGTCAGTTATCCAGGCAGATGCTCTAGTTGACAAGTGGGGACTCCAATGATTCGTGACAGTTTCACAATCTTGTGGCGATCAGGAATCGTACGTTCAATTAGTTGTTTCGTTCATATTTGCCCTGTGTCAATTTTAATTAGCTGACTCAGTTCATGCTTAAAAATCATAATCCCTTCTTACAGAAAAGTTCATAAAATATCTGACAATAATTTTAACTGTTTTATTTACTATACATTTGATTACCGGTGTGAAAAAGTATTTAACTCAAATACTAATGGCATTTAAAAAATATGAAACAAAAATATTTTTTTGAAATTCCTTTTGCATGTATAGATTGTTTCTTTTTCATTTCAAATGTCAACGAGTATAGTTTTATTTATACATCGTAAATATTTCGATATTCTAATGCTAGGAGACCCATAATTTCTACCTACTTATGGCCCCTAAGAGTGTTAATCCGACCCTGGGATTACCAAACATAAACGTAGAATGTGTAGATTCGTGATTATCCGAGGTAATTGGGAACTGAGACGACCTCGGTTATGAAAAGAACTCGGATAATGCTGATTTCATTTGTGTAAAATCATGTGTAAAAATAGAAATTACACAATATACTAAATAAGTGACCACGCGTAGCAGTTACGCCGTTCCAGTGAGACAACTAGAACTGAGTGAATATGACAAATAAACACAATGCTTGACGAGATCGTCCCAGTGTTAAAATTCGGAGAAGTAGCAATACTCAGTTCCGGCCCCGCACACGGCAGCTCGGTACTAATGCAGCAACTTAATTCATTCCGTATTCTGTTTTGTATATAAACATTACAAAATTATTTGTAAAAAAAAAGCAATTATATCGTCTGCGCCAAAACCACGAAAGTTCAAAAAAGCTCGATGATGTGAAAAAATTACGGTTATGAAATATTGTAGCGAATTAATTTCATCGATATGCGAATATCTACCGAAAAATCCTCATTTTTCAGAGGCTATCGAACCTTCATGTGGGTTGCTTGCAAAATCAACCCCACACTCTTTCATGATTTTGAGGAAGTGCTGAGGCGCTGTAGCCTTTTTACCTTCGTGGGCTGCGTTGGCTCATCGACAGCATTGCCGTTGTCTCCGCAGAGATTCTCTCGCCGCGAGTCGTACAGTTCCTAGTTCGGACGGTGGCAGATTTTTCGCAACAGCTACGTCACACTCACCCGATATGTGGGGAATAATCTATCGGCTGGCTTTTCTGATGAATAGTTCTCCGTCGTTTCTCCGATCATAGCAGGCCATGGACAGCGCGCGACCTTTCCTTCTTCGTTGTCTTGTCCTACCCCTAACACACACACACACACGCACACACACAGGCACTACATTACCACACATGTCGGAAGCTTGGAGCTTGTAGCGAGTGGGGCGGTGTAGAGAAGTTATTCTAAAAAGGGACCAGTTTGACAGGCCGCAAAATAAATTATCATGTCGGATGATGACATTGCGAAAGGTGTCGAAGCACATTACAAGTGATTCAACTGCTAATAAAGAAGATGACGAAGGAAGCGCGTGGGCATAATCTGCAGTTGTGCTGCGAGCAGTAGTAGCCAAGCAGTAGCTGTGAAAGCGGCACCTGGGCGGGAAAATCCTTTGCTAGCCGACGTGCTGGTGGGCGCCGGGGGAACACCGCCACCTCTCTGGATAATCCCACCGCACGAACGGGGCTAATGTTGACTGGCGTGTCGATGTGTGTTGAAGGAGTACGGCGACGGCGCGCTGCACGGGGGCTGCGCGGCGTACCAGCCGTCGCTGCGGCCCTACGACACGGAGTACGTGGAGGAGGCCCTGCCCGGGGAGGCGGGGCGCGTGGGCGCGGGGGCGTGCCCGTCGAAGCGGCCCAAGGAGCGCCTGCTGCCGCTGCCCTTCTGCTCCATGGCCACCGACTACGAGCCCGAGGTGGTGACGACGCCCGGCGCGTCGGCCGCCGTGGCCAGCGCCGCCGGCGGCAACCACCCCCACCCGCACCACGCGCCCGCCCCCGCGCCGCGCCGCCTGGAGGTGTGCGCGCAGACGCTGCTCATCGAGGGCCCCTACTCCGCGCCGCGCGCCGCGCCCCCGCACGCCCACCCGCCCGTCCAGCCGACGCCGCAGCAGCAGCTGGTGGGGCGGCGACGCGCGCTCTCCAGGTGAGCTCGGTACGCTGGGGTGGCTGACACGTGCTCGTTCTTGCATCAGATCACAGCAGCAGCAACAAGAAACAAATGGCAATGAGAGCTCACTACAGTAGACTACACAGAACAGCATAGACGTCGCATAATCAAACAAGTAATGGTAACGAATGGAGCTCTTCAATTTTCAGTTTCTCCCCACTTGACTATGTAATATTTTTGCATCAGTAACAGTGCAGAGTCATCAGAATGTGAAGCCTCTGATTGAATAGCAAAACCCCCTCTTCCGTGTCAGCCCTTGGCTGTCAAGTAGACAGAAATATTATTCGGAGAATAAACATATATCATTCTGTTGATGTTGACCTCGTATTATAAATATAATGTAGAGTCGTGAGGGGAGGTCAGTAATAGATTTTTTTTTCCAGTGCCAACGTTTCAGACATTTATTTATAGCCCTGCTTCAGGGTTATAAATATACAATAATGTACTAGATAAATATACAAGTAGTGCAATTGGTTAACCCAATTTTATCATTACGAAAGGAAACCAACTTATTCAAAATTTAATTTACTATACTCCCAAGGCCCATTCCCATAGGCAAGAGCAACATAACTATATAAAATTACATAAAATTTATTACATACATCGCATAACATATTCTACTACAGGTAATTTAGTTGTGTTACCTCTGCTAAGAAGTATAACAAATTGTGTTTTGAATATGTTTGTTTTCTTGTGTAATGATAAATCAGGTGAACCAATTGCACTACTTATCTTATTGTATATTTATAGCTCTGAAGAAGGGGAGAAATGGCCTAAACGTTAAAAAAAAAAACACACACACCTTTTTATTAACCTACCCTTATAATTCTCTACATTACACGTAAACAGAAATCTGTGGCTTGGTGTGAGAAGGCCAAATGACAGTAGTTAGTGATTAGTCAATGCACACTGTTCAGGCTGCCCAAGTCGTCTTCTTTGTGTTGGGCATGTGACATCAATGTCGAGGTTTTTAAACATCGATATATCTGGCTTGGTGCAAGAAGGGCCAGTGCCAGTTTTAGTGATTTTTGGGTTTGTATGGCCAATGTGCGTTTTGAAGCCCTTTCTTTAGTGCTAGAAAGGCCAAAGTCTAAAGTTAATCTTATCTTCTTAATTCATTTTGACTTGGCATTGGCTAAAATTGTTTTATGAATTCAATGGTGTAAGAAATCCACTCATAGTTTAAAACTTTGAATATTGACATAGGCCCTTCTTGCACCAAGCCACAGATATTAACACTAATGTTTTTAACACTGGTGATTTTTGTGCTTGATGTTTTTACACTTCCAATGTTTTGTTTGTGAATGAAAAATTCCCATGATCAAATTACTGTATAATGTAAACCATGAAATGATAACGGATGGAAACGCTGTTAGTTCGTGTTGGAACCAAAGGATCGCTATTGGTACTACTTTTGACCAAACCCTCTCAACTAAGAGGACCTCTGTGCCCTTGTGTTTTCTCTTTCTTCGTTTTCATTTCACTTATGAACAAAAGCACTGCAGGGGTGTTCCTTCTTCTTGTACCCTTATTTGATGAAAGAAAGCATCAATGGTTTTCAGTCGATGTATTAGTAACATGCATGTTTAATTTTGAACATTGGTGTTTGATTATCGTTGTCGCATCACTACTTCATGCATAGGGAATATTGTGGGAATGCTGATGAGGTGTTGTGGACATTATTAACCCTTTAGGCGCCTTTGTCCCACTTTGTGGACCACAGCATGTTTTCCGGTTCCATTCCTATGGCCCACCCAGTTATCCACTCTCTTCTCGGTAACAATCCTTTACACCTATTGATCTTTCCATCTCTTTGGGATTGACCAACATTTCTTCCTTGTGACATATGTAGTAATACATTTCTCATGAAACTATTGAGGAATTCGTTCTGTTTGCATTCATGAGACTTTTATTTGTTGTTTCTTTTCATTTTTGGCAAAAGGACCATCTTGCGAGAAATTAAAAGAGAGAATTATTAAATTATCGGCTGTATTGTTTGCTTTGTAGTGTTAGGTTGGTTTAAATGGGACTTAGATTTAACAATCCCATACTTTGGGGGCATCATTCACTTGTAAGGCGGAAAATGGATATAAACGTCTGCAATCAAAATGTAAAGATGGTATTGTAATGCCATTTACGAATCTAAAACAGTACTATGTATAATTATTCAAATTCCCTTAGAAGGCATAAAACATCATATGACGTATCACACCCAATGGCAGCAGTTCATTAGAGCACGTCATAAGATGTACCATATGCTTGAGGGTTTATAGACTTCTATTTTTAAAATCTCAATGATATTTTTGTCTTTCAATGCTTATTGGATGTTTACAACTACAACAACAACAACAACAACAACAACAAATGTTGCAATGCAGACTCACTTGTTGGCGACTCCAGTTTCTCAAACAGCCAGGCCATCCCATAATCAAGTTGAAGTTGTAGTATCTTTGAGTGTAGAGAAATGTTGTGCAATCGAAGAAATGTACTTCATGTTGAATTTGTTCTTCAAAAAATGGTTATTGCTATCTGCGTCTCTGCAGAACACGCTGTCAGTGCAGAGAGTGTTCAAAATTTGTATACCCTTGCCCAATCTCAAAAACTGAAAATATTTTAACACAAACATGCGGAATGTGGATCACAATTTTTAATCAATATTTAATGTTTTAATTAATTTTAAGATTATGTAAAACGTCTTTTTGTTTTGTTTTTAAATTTAACACAATCTTAATATTTATCTTATGTGTATCATTAACTCTTAAGAATATAAATTTTGCCTTTAATTATATGGTAATTTATTCTGGGTTCTACTGTTTATCCTTGTTGAGGTTCCCTGAGTAAAAGAATATTATTGATATGCTACGTTTGTTTGTTTTCAAAAGGTTAAAATGGGACCCATGATTGGTTGAATTGGGATGAGTGTTTCAAGGGGTGTATTAAATCAGATGTTCAAATGTACAACAATCAGTCCAGTGTTTGGTTTGAATGGGATGCATGTGATGGTAATTTTGTATCGGTTTTAAGTGATTGTACAGTACAAATTTTGCATACGATTTCTATTTACTTATAAAACTATTCAGGAAAGAAAACACATGAAGTATTATGTAAAAGAAGTAAAACAATTAAACTCAATTTGTCAAAGACAATTATAAAACATTTAATAGGACTCTGAAAACTATTGATTGTGGCCCCTGATTTACCCCTGAAAAATAACCCATCAGCGAACCGTACCACAATAAACATTCTCAAATATTAATAATTTTTGTAGGCTCCCTGCCTTTTGTACAACTGTGGGACCAAGTTGTACACTTTGAAGTGTAGGTCACAACATTAATGCTATATCCAATTTGCAGTTGAGAAAACTTCAAAACTGTCATGTGTGTGGTATACATAATGGTGTTTGGATAAAAGAAAAGAATTAACCTATTAAACCTACTTTTCGTCGGGGTAAACTGTGATCCTTTAAATACTTTTAATGTACAATCTGCCAAAATTCTATATAGTGTAGTGTAGTAAGAGTTAGCCAAAGCGTTGTTCTGTCCCCTCTTGGTGTAGCTCCACGTGAGAAGCCATTGAGCGGTGGCGGTGGGCGTTTGCGCAGGAGCCCCACGCTGTCGGAGAACGGGTCCCCGCCGTCGTCGCCGTCGCCGCCCTGCAGCCTGCAGGCGCACAAGGGCGGCGCGGCGCGGTGCCTCCCGCAGGGCGGCAAGCGGCTGGCGGGCGGCGGGTGCGGGGCGGGCGGGCGCGCGGCGGGCGTGGAGACGTCCCGCAGAAGCGCGGCTGCCCGACGCGGGGCGGCGGCAGCGTGGTGGCGGTGCGCGCGGAGCGTGGCGCGGCTGCAGGCGCGGTGGCGGCGAGCGCGGGGGCGGCGGCGGCGGGCGGGCGGCGGCGCAGCGCTTCGCACAGCCCCGGAACCACCACTCGCCGCCCCCGCCCCCGCCGCCGCGCGCCCCGGCGTGGGACGCGTCGCCGCCGCGAACTGCCGTGCCCGCGCGCCCCGACGGCGACCACGCCCCCGCCCGGCCGGCCCAGGCCCAGCCCGCCTGCTGCGCCGGCGACAAGTACCGCTGCGTGGCCGTGGTGGGCGGCCGTCGTTCTGGGCGACCCGGCGGCGGGGGCCGGTGCGTGCGGCGGGCGCGGCAGCGGGGGCGGCTGCGAGCGAGCGTCCCCCGCCTCGCCGGCAACGGCGCTCCTCACTCGCGCTCCCCGCTCCCGGCAAGGCTTCGCACGCCCGCCGCGGCCGCCGCCTCCCGCCCGCGTCCACACCAGCGCTCGCTGTCCCGCCCGCCTGCCTCTCGGCCGGCACGCCGCGGCAAGGCGGCGCACCACCACCAACCGCAGCAGCACGCGCGCGGCCCGCCCCCGCGCGCCGCCCCCGCCCGCCCGCCTCCCCCGCGCCTGCGCCTGGCCCCCCGACCAGCCCCCCGGCGCCGGCGAGCCCCAGCACAACGCGCTCTCGCACTCGCGACTCCAGCAACACCAGCAGCAACTGCCCAGGTAGCTTGCCTTCGATAACGCTTCACGTACTTCCTTTTCTGTATTTAGAGATGGTTTGTAGTACAGATCTGAATATTTCAATTCGGGGTGTTATATTACATGTACATTAAATGGCGAAATTTTAACTCAAAAGTTTATTAAAAGAGTTACAACTTATCAGGCCAGGCTAAAACATTGTAGTTTCCATATCAAGCTAATAAAAGTGTGACCAATTTCATTCATTTTCATAAATGTCCAGTTAATATCTGTGATACGAGGCGTTACAATACATTAGAAAGGTGGCCTTGTTTTTTCGAAGGACATTATTATGTCGAAAGTGACCAAATTTTGAAGTGTGTGTTCTAATTAAGCCTTTAATATATATATATTTTAATTATTACGATCTTAGATGTCAAATTACATGGTTGCTGGTTACCTTCTCAACTTACAGGATAATTAAAAAACACTAAATGGCAAAAGACCCAAGTAAACCACGCAAACATACCTCCTGTGTAAGTACAGTAAAGTGTAAGTGAAATTCCAAAAACTGAAGAAAATTGAAAGCAAATAATATTACATTTTAGCTAATTATCACTAGTATTGTAACTTTATTAATTGCATTTAGTTTGTTTTGTTTTTGTTAATCTGCCGTTATTTCCATTGTTAGGAAAAATCTGGAAAAATCTTTATTTAAATAGTATTGACATCTTTCAGCACATGAAGATAATTCTCAAGCAATTCCTTCCCACTCCATTCAACTCTGTATCCATTCATTGTTCTTATCAGTTGTACGAAGGGAAACAATAAGGATATTTTCTCATGCTCGAGCAACCACTTTATTATTTTGATACGTTTATCACATCCACTTTTCTGATATTTATTCACTCTCTTTTTTTGACTTGAATATTTGAGCGAAGATCAGAAAGACATAGTGGTTAATCTTGATCATGTTTTTTATATCTTTAATCGAAGGTAGATTCTTAGATGTAGCAACATTTTCATTCATCCGCTTTCCCTTCGCTGTAGTTTCTGTTACTTAGTTGTTGGTTTTTTTAGAGTAAAAAGTTATGTCGGGGAGTAACCAACAGAGAAAAATTCATGCAGCATAGTTATAATATTTGCTCTAAACTCCTCTGAAAAGAACCCTCAATGAAGACCTTTTGTTTGCAATGAATGTAGTTCTGAGGAAGCTTACTTTAGTCAATAAATTTCCATATATGTTTCAATGTGGTTAAAATGTATTGTTTAATGCATTAATTGTTTTCTGTGATATGCCTTTCTTAAATGAATTTACTCTATATAATACTTCACTTCATGACTGATTTTGTTTCTAGTGCGTATTATAAACAAAAATTCTGAACCTGCATGTCATTTTTATGCATTATTACATCTATACAAGTTAAAGATCTCGATAACAAATATCTCAAAATATTAGTGCACGAATTTAGTTCATAATAAAACAATAAATACAGCATAAACAGTTGTTAGATAAAATCTAACATGAGTAATCATGTACCAAAAAAATGCGCAAAAAATGGTGAATTAATGTTATCAATATTTATGTTGCTAAAACACATGAACTATGTGTAATCTATAATTTAATTTGGGCAATTAAACATGTTGTATAAAGAAATTATTATCTATCATTATTTACTCTGACAACTTGATATCAGTATCAGTCGGATCTCTGAATTTCATATGCAGACCTGAAACACTTGACATTGCTTATGCTCAAAAGCATCAAGTGGCAAGATATACTATAGTTGTGCTGTTAGTGGCCAAAAACAATTCAATGATTCAGTGATTAAAAGAATCCAAATAAGTAGTCTACTAGAGAAGAATGTTGAGAAGTAATGAACAGTAGAAAACTGAATGTGGACTAATATTGCATTGCTGTTGTTTTGGAGAAGAATTAATAAATATATACACATGAAATTTGACAGCAAAGTTGATAAGATATAGATCTGGACAAAAATCAATGAGCAGACCAAAATTCAGATAAAATTGTTTGTAGATAAGGTTGTAATTGTACATGAAGTGTGTGGCCACAATGTGTATTAGTAGTGAAACGTCTATGACACAAGAATAGGAAATTTCAAAAGTAGAAGAAATCTTTTTGTACCAATAAGGTTTTAAGAATTTTTACTCATCAAATCACCAAAAATGTGTAAAAGTACTTGACAAGGTAGACAATGTGCATGATTGATTTGCTCTTGTTTCCTTATTTTATATTGTAAACAATTTTAATATTGATAATGAAAATAGATAATATAAAATTAACATCTCTCATTTTTGTTATTATTATTATTATTATTATTATTATTATTACAAAAATGACAGATGCTCATTTTTATTAACCCCTTTTCTCTTAATTCCCTTAGGTCACATTTGTTGAACTGTACTCTTAAATGCAAAACTGGTTTTGAATGGCCCCGGAGTGCGAAAGGGGTGTAGTACTATAAGGCTAACATTAGGCAAATGTTGAAATCAAGATTTTTTTCTACTGACTTGTGAAGAGACCTCTTTTTCTTTGAATGTTGAGGTACACACCTGAGGTGGAGGCGCTACGTTCTCGGCTCCGAGAACTCCGAGGAGCTGTTCCCGCTGGTGGCAACAGTACTGGAGTTGGAGTTAGCAGCACTTTGTCAGAGGGCAAGCGTCTGCGCCAGCGAAGCGAGTCTGACCCAGGCCACGGGTGCCTGAGTAGCGCCGCAGTAGCAGCTGCTGCAGACGCTGTGCGACGCCTACAGCAGGTGGGATCCCCTTTGAAGGAGGTCACATTCACTTTATTACTTTGCTGGCGGTTGTTTAGTAATGTAATGATGTTATTGATGAGGCATTGTAATTTTTGTTTCTGCCTTTAAGGAAAGTTTACCACCAAATGTAAGGTACATAGATGCATCGTATATAGTGTGGTAAAATGAACATCATGGATGGTGTCAGTATTTTAACGTTATGTAAACAAAGTGTTAATTTACTTTCAAGTAATAATTATTTTAATTATTATTTTTATAAATTATAATTAATTATATATGTTATCTAGAATGCACATTAAATTCTTGACACCGTCTCCCTCTCTCCATGTCAGTGTCCTTCTCAGCCCAGGTGGAGCGCAGTGCTAATGGAAATTGAATTGTACTGAAGCGTATTTTTGTTCTGTAACGCCATCTAATGGAGTGGCAACAAAGTTAATAGAACATAAGCCTTCTGGGTGAAAAACCATGTACATGTGCCAATTTTCATTGAAATCATTGATGCTATGTCTGAGTTTACTGCTCATGTATACCAACATCCATTTTTATATATAGGTATCTGGCGTGATTGAATGATCATGGTGTACTTGATTATAAATATGATATGGATGATGAGAGGCAAGGGAACGGGAGAATCTATACACTTAATGGACATTGATTTCTATTTAAGTGTTAAGTTTCATGTCCATTAATACATTAATCTACATTAAATTTGATGACATTTGAAACAGTATACCCCTTTGCTTCTAAATATTCCAGTAAACTACCAATTTTTCTGTTTGTTTGTTTTTTGTTGTTGTTGGTTGTTTTTTACATTATAAAAAAAGGTTAGTTCTGGTATGTAATTTAATTTTTATTAATTGTTAAAACACCTTGTAAAAGATGTGATATTCATGGGGGGGAAAACATCATTTACTTCTGCATTTCTGTTATTGAGGTATATTAAAAATTAGTCGAGAATTATGTGGTTAAATACATTAATATCTCCTAGAATTTTATCATATTAACATCTTCGATATTTTTCATGTATGAATAATTACAATAATAGAAATAATTTGTAAAAGCTATTGTTCTTGTATGAATGAAAATTGATAATTGTTTCGAATAATCTGATAAATAATACTTGACACTTATTAATTAACAGGTGGTAGCTTCAACAACTGGCCATGCAAATGTCATGTCTGCGGCTGCTCGTGCTCTTGTATCGCCAAATGGTCCAGGGGGGGGTTGTGCAGCCACAACCTGTGACGCTCGGGAGGCAAAGAGAGCCAGAGATGCATCCCCTGTTCCACCTGAACTCCCACCCAGCGCTTTGGAGAAGCATAGACCTGTTGTGGTGAGTTCTATCTTTTGTTATTCTTCTCTGAGAAGCCGTGACATTGAAACGGAGTGACAGTTCTGAAAAACTGGGAAAGTCAAGGAATTATAAGAAGAATCTTTAAATGATAGAGAAAACGATGAGTCAGTTGTAAAACTAGATATTGTTTCTTACATAACATCTGTAAAAGCATGGAGGAAAGATTGTAGTTTCCACTCAGTGCACTAAGAGGTTACTAACAAATCTTGTCCCATCCAGAGATAGTTCCATAATTGCATATTTGGTTCCTGAGAAGATTGTTATCAAGTAGAGAGCTCACTGGTCGTAATTCGGCCCTTAAATCCCACTGGCAATTTTGCTATTTCTGTTCACTCAACAGTTGCAGCACTCTCAAATTATTATTGGAATGGCTATTAGCATAAAGTGCTCTAGCATGCAAGATATGCTCTGACAGCCATTCACTAAATATTAACTTTATTCTCCGATTATTTTCTTTTTTTAATTTCTCAGTCCTTTTATAGCTATTAACATATCTAGAAGTCTTATAAGTGTTATTACTGCAGAGAAGAAAAGTTAAAAGTCTACGTGAAGTGTAGCAGATCCAATATTTTGAATTTGGACAAGGTAGTAATAACACTAACATTTCATGGTATGCCCAGCATTTTATCGATCAGCCTAAAATTTCAAGAATTATGCAAATGTACAATACTGCATTAGTGAACACATGAATTCTGTTGCTGCGGCATGTTAGTGCGATATTGTGGGGTGTTGCATGCGATATATCTCTATAAACACTATTCACATACAGTGGTTTGAGAAATAAGGATGCAAATAATTTTCCTGAACCTAAAGATATCTGAAGAAATGACATTCAGTGAGGAAGTTGGCGCGTTTACTTCCAGTGACGCCATCTTTACATCGTCAGTAAAAATGATTACTGGAGTAGTGTTTGGTTTGGTGGAATGCGAGGGAAATGGGGTTAATTTTCCTTATGTACATTTTTCTAATTGTACTATTAATAGTATTACAATTAACAATAATTGTCCCGAAAGCCAATGTCAATTACATTTATTCTGAATTGTTTGAATATGATTTCTTTTCTACATCGCCATATTTTTTTCTTAACAAACATTTGCCTTGCGATGAATCAATGGTTGTTTTACAGTGTTAAGGATGTTCAATTTTTTCACATGCAAGGAAGTACAAGTGCACTTAACAACTCTTTAGGGTTGCATGTTATCAGGGGTTGAAAGTACATTTGATCAATAAAACTACTTTACTAGTGCAGTTGCTAGCAAGTGACAATAGCAAATAAGTGTTGTTGTTGTTGTTGTTGTTGTTGTTTTTATGAATTTGAAACTGATGTAAATAAAAAAAAAATCCAAAATAAATTTCAAAAATCATGATTGCCCTAGTGAAAAAGGAAGTAATCCGATATCCAGAAGCAGTACTAGCGTTCTGAAACAAAACCTTATCCGAATTGATCATTATTTTGCAGAATTTTTATATGAAATAGATGGTGCGAGTTACAGAAGAAAGTAGACTCCTGTCCTCGCGCCTTTATCAGTGTAGGATTGCTGTCAAAAAAAGAAAATTGAAAAACTATGTGTGTGTCCAATGTAAAATAATGTATAGTAATCTAGGTAGCAACAATGTGTCAAGTTCCTTTTGGGAGCATTATTATGTAAAAACATGGGAGGTAACAAAACGTAGTGTTCCTTTCATATTGCTCTAAATATCTGTAATTAAAGGTTGTGTAGGAATGATAGACACATGTATTTTGTTGACAGGCACACAGCCCTACCAGAATTGCCCATTGCAGAGCTTTTCACAAAACTAAAGGGGCAAGTCGTGTCCTTCGCCGTGGCGATTCATCAGAATCAGATTATGAGTAAGTGTACTGCTTCATTCATAAATAGCCTTTACCCTTCTTATTTTCTACTTTGTTTTCTACAGATGTGCAGTGTTAGAGGAAATTTTAAAATTAAATTGAGACCTTAATGTATATGGACAAAAGTTCTTCTATATTATTTCTTTAAACGTTTTTCTATGTATATTTTTTAAAATTATTATTTTTATTATTTTTTATTATTAATTCATTTTTTAATTTGTTAGATACTCGTATGTTTGAGAGACCTACTCAAATTTAATCGAATTTGAATTTTTATTGTTAAAAGGTTTATTTATCATGTTCCCAAGTATAGAGTCCTAAATAAAGATCTTTATATTAGATTTCAGTGACAGAAAATTTATACTTCATAGTATATATAAATTATGACGCCAATTATCACAGTCTATTTTTAGCTTAAAGAGAAACCTATCTTCACATGAAATCAATAGCCTTTTGATGTGAAAGTGGTTTTGCATTGCTTAAATACCATTTCTGTTTTCTTGTTTAATTGTTTTCAAATTTTGCTGTTGTTTAAGAGGGGTTAATTTCATAGGTTGAGAACCTACATTTTTTCTTTGGGTCATTACAAGTATTGCTGATATTTTGGTTGGGTGATTGGCCAATGAGGCAGCATTTTTCTTTGGAGATCATATCTTAGGTTAAAAATAGATATCCCTGTAACTGACTGGTTTCCATGGCAACCCACCAGTACTACCAAATACTGGAACAGTTTTGAAAGCTGTGAATCTGTTGTAGTGCTGAAGATGTCATCACAGTGCTTCCTTACCTTTTCATTTTAATGGGCAGTTATCATGTCTCTGCAAATTGACTTTGTGCTTTATTGTGATGAACTTCATTTAAGAAGTTAATTATTTTTTCATTAATAATGCATTTCCTTCTCTTTCTGTAATAATGTTATAATGCATGTAATAATGTTCTAATATAATGTTATTTGAATTATGAGAATTGTTGAAAATGGCTTTATCATAGAGTGATTGAACTGAATGAAAATGAGTGAATAAAGAAAAATAACACATCCAATTAAAATTTAAGGAAGATTTGGGAAATTGAAGGTACCAAAGGTAAAGAATTTCAATTTCCCTAAAGCTTTCTTTTTTAAGTTGAAAAACTTCTTGAAAAGTTGGTTTGTTTGTTTTGAAAATTGTCATAGTTAATTATTAATGCCTACTAATCATCACGAGGGACAATAATATACCAACCTCTATTTTATCTTAAAATGTTTAATTCATTTCAATTATTCTTTGTGTGGTAATATGTTAATTATTTAGGTTTTGAACTTAACCATCACTCAGAGGTTAATGAATTTTTTTTCATTCAGTGAATTTTATTACAGCGATCAGACACCAGATAGTGGGGCAGTTGTTGACTGCAAGGATGTTCCACAAGAGGATAGTGAAGAAGGTAAAGCTTTGTGAATATTCTTTTCATGAATGTAATTTATCCCTTCCAAAATTGTTTCTCTGAAGCAGTACTTGAAAAAAGTGACAGTTTTGTTTTCTAATTATAACAGTTGAAATCCAAATTATTGAAACGTCTGTGGGATCATCATTAATGGTTTTATTTTTTATATTCAGAATAGTCTCTTTATCTCAGTTATAAAAAATACAATGTTGTGTTTAGTGAATGGGCAGCCTAACAGGAGATAACAAGAGTAAAAATTTTGAGTTTGAATTTTGAATTAGGTTATTCAAACATTTATATTTATTGATGTTCAGTCTAATATTTCTAATAAAAGAGTTGTAAGAAGGTACAGGAATGATTTGTTTCTTGTAAAAAATATTCGTAATAAACTCATTGTTTTGGTCAGCTGGGAAAGATACTCACCTTGAAATTGAATCTTCTCAACTGAGCCACAACATACTCTGGAAACTTTAAAATCACTATTCTAATATTAAAGAGCTTTTTTAAACAATTTTGAATGTAATAATCAGTACTTACTTGGATGCTGTGAAATTTAATGTTCCATTTTTATTTTAATTACCTGTACCTGTTCCACTGTTAGTGTGCTTCTGCATGTCCTCCTGCAAATGATTTTTTTTTTTTTTCTTCTTGCGTAATGTCAAATATTGTTTAAGAATCCTGTATTTGTCTTCCAGTGGACCATGTGCATTGTTACGAATGCATCCAATTTGCTGCAGATGACGCCCGATCCGTAATGAGCAGCTTGACCACGGCTTCGTCCAGCGACTCTGCCTCTCCGTCATTAGTGGGAGAGACCCTAGGTTCCATATCCTTAAGTGACACTGGATTGTCATCGAGAATCACCACCCCACACGCTCCCATCAAACCAGTCACTCCACCCCGGCCCCCAATGGCTGCTTCCTCCTTTATAGTACGTCGCAAGGGAGATCTTCCGCGGTCTTTGCGGAGTAGTTTGTTTTCTCATGTGCCTCCATTTATTCGGTTCTCAATGCATGATGCAAAAGGTAAGATCTTTTGTTTATGTTCAGAAGTCCTTTTCTTGTATTATCTTCTCTAAGTTCACTGTAGTAGCTTATCTCATTAGATTTCAATCCAAATCACATTTTAAGCTTTCAAAATAAGTTGATCTATTTCAAAGAGTGGTTGAAAATAAACCAGTTTTTCATTCACATGTTCTGTATTTCAGAGTTGGTACGCTCTGGAAGTTGTATATTCATTGTATATAATTTTTAACTCGTGTGTTTAAACTTTTCACTAAAAAAATGATTTTGAGTGGATTTTAGCAAGCCTGGAATCGTAGGACCTAATTTTGCTTATTCATTGACAACAATGGTCTTAATATATTTTTTAATTTTTTTAAAATCAGAATGTTAAATTTACTTCCCTTTCAAATGAATAATCAACATTGATGCACAGTCTGCATCTGCACCGTTTTACTCTTTACTAGTATATTAATCCGCTGATAGATATCCTTCATTGTTGTTACACTTATTGCATGTTTTCATTTATATATTAAAAGTAGGAAATCTGGGATATCCTCACAAAAGATTTATCTTTTCAGGAGAGCCTCTTCCCCCAGAAGTGTCTTCAATCCTCAAATGGAAACTTAGTACCATCACACCAGTGGTGGTGCGCCGAACTCTTGTCAATTCAGGGTTTCGCCTCGTGCGAAGTGAGTGCAGCTATACAGGTGTGCATGTTTATTTCTGTCTCCTCCTTCTCTCTCCTCTCGAGGCTATAGAAAAGCAGACACCTTGAGTCCTTAGTATTCAGGAAGAAAAGACCAGAAGTATGTAAGAATTTAAATAATATTAGAGAAGTCCTTTACCTAGATGAAGGACAGGTTGTTTTGTAATTTTTAGAGATCCATTCAGGAACATATTCCCCGCATGTCTTTTGACTTCTTCATTTCCGGTTTCCAAACCCAATAGCTGTCCCTCTAATTAATCTACCTTAAATGTATCATTTCAGAACAATTTTGAATTTGTTTAACCATTTTGGTGTGTTCTTGGTTTTAATTTTTCTTTGCTCTCTCTTACTAATCCATGGGATCTTTCGTTTGAATGTGTGTAAATATTGTAGAAAATAACCATAATTCTGGAAACTTCTCTCTTCGTAATAACTTTCTTCTGGTATAGAATTTCCTACTTCCTGTGCTTTGACATTGTAGATAATGTTTGGATGCTAGTTGGCATGTAGTATGTAGTGGGAAAGAAAAAATAGTAACCTTATAGAATATAGCAACTTCCTAATACAGAGAAGATTCATAACAAGTAATTTGTATTTAGTGTTGTTCTTGGAATGACCTTTTGTTTCCTCACAACAGAGTCAAACGAATGGAGTGGAACATGGGGCAAGCACATGAAAAGCCTGTGTTTCCGGACTCTGAAGGAATTCCAGAAAATCAATCACTTCCCTGGGACTTTCCAAATAGGACGCAAGGACCGCTTATGGAAGAACTTGTATCGGCTCATGACAAAATTTGGTCGCAAAGAATTTGGTTTTATCCCACGCACTTACGTTTTGCCCCAAGACAGCAAACTTTTGCGTCAAGCATGGGAGAAAAATTGCGGAAAAGAAAAATGGATTATCAAGCCTGTAAGTTAGATATGTATTTAATATAATGTAAAATAGTTGTAATTCTTAATAATTTATAAATATACCGATGTGAGAGCTTTTGAAGGCTCAATTTTGATTATAAGAGTATGATATAATTAATAATTTTATGTAAACAAAGAAATCGTTTAGAATGAGGGGAATTGTAAGGTAATACTGGTAATTGTTTGAAAAATGTTCTTGGCACAAAATGATTGCAAATATTGTTCTTCTATTGTTCTTTTGCTTACAGCCAGCATCTGCTCGAGGCACAGGTATTAAAGTAATCCATCGTTGGGCACAGATACCCAAAAAGCGCCCCCTTGTGGTACAGAAGTACATAGCTGATCCTTACCTCATCAATGGCAGCAAATTTGATTTGAGACTGTATGTGTTAGTTACCAGTATGAATCCAATGAGAGTGTATATTTATGACGATGGTCTGGTGAGATTTGCTTCAGTAAAATACTCAGGTGATATGGCTACTCTTAGTGACAGGTATGTTGAACAAATGTAACTTCACACATTCAATTTTCTGTTTTCTTGTGCTTAAATAAAGTATAATCTAAATATTTGTGCTAAGAACTTACCATTGTTCCTTGATTTTGCTGAATGTGTGTTTATTTGTTAAAGTCGTTTATTTCTTAAATGTGTAGAATATGTTTAGCCAATAATCCTGTAAATTGATATTGATCTTTATACTTGTGCAGGTACATGCATCTCACAAATTACAGCATTAACAAACTGAGTAGTATGTACACTCAAAATGAAGATGCGTCTGCATGCCAAGGTCACAAATGGACAGTGAAAACGCTGTGGAGCTACATGGAAAAGCTCGGGGTTGATGTTAATCGGCTTTGGGACAATTTGGTTGATCTTTGCATCAAAACAGTAATATCTGGAGAACCTTCTATTAGTCAGTTGACCAGATCCAATTTACCATCACGGTACTGCAGCTATGAACTCTTTGGAATTGATGTGCTTTTAGATGAGCATCTCAAACCTTGGCTTTTAGAGGTCTGTAACTTCTTCACATACATTTAAATTGTTTTATATAATATAATAAACTTCCGGGCAATAATCTCATGAATATTACTCATATTTTAAAAAGCCAGCACATATTATAAAAATTAATTTGCATATAAAAATTATGGGAAATTTGAATAGAATTGATTCAGCACAAATATTTCTGGCACTCATTGGCTAGCATTCCTCTGTCAGTAGAACATTATTTAGATGTGTTACTTTTATCATGAACTTTTACTTGTGGTTGTACTTCGCACTTTTCAAGATGGCTCTGTGTCACTTGAGTAAATCATTGGTAATAACAGTGATTTTCTTTTTTAGGTAAACATATCACCCTCGTTGCATTCAGCTTCACCCCTGGATTTAGCTGTGAAAGGTCCGCTGGTGCGAGATCTCATGAACCTGGCAGGCTACCATGTGCCAAACAAACTGGTAACTTCCCAGGTGGAAGAACTCCTCACACAGTTCGGTGTGCCCAGAGACAGGATCTCTTCGCTGTGTTTTGATAGGCGCCTGTACACTACTCTGTTGGGTCCAGAAGAACGGCAGAAACATCATATGTTCCAAGCCTATACTGAACGAGAAGAAGTGAGTTATTTCTTTGAGTGTTCTTTAGTACTGGTCTGTATTCGTGTGGTGAAAAAATAGTGTTATTAATTAATGAATTCACGCAGTTCATGTTAACTGCATGGCATGTAATTAGTACTACATGTCATTAGAGAGCTGAAATTTAGACACTATAAATCTTTATAATAGAGGGGCACTTAGGCTCTTAAAACTGCTAAAAAAAATCAAAATAAATTAATTTCCTATTAACAATGAATTTGTGATTACAGTATAACCCAACAGTACAGAACAATAGATTTTCCAGTAGTTTTAATAAAAATGAGACAAAAACGTTTATGAAAAAAAAAAGTTTTTGAATTTCCGAACTTTGTAGTTTCTCCTGGAACCTCAAGGTTGTTTTGTTAAGATCTGTTTTAAAATTCTAGCCAACTTTTATAATAATAAAAGGAATTTTTCAAAAGTTCCAGTGTCTAGTAATAACTAATGCCAAGTCTCAGTGTAAATGTTACTAACTTCCAGGTAAGCCAGAGGGATAGAAAATTATCACTTTTGTCCAATGAATATGTGGAAATGAAAATTTCACAAAAACAGTGTTTCACATTGATCTGTGCCCACGATTTTCATGCAACTGCTAGTGCACAGTTGTTCAGCAGGTCTTGCTCTTGAGGCAGTCAAGAAGATTCATTAAACAGCCGTACATCTCAGCTCACTGGGTTGCCTAAACATTAAGGGCAAAGGCAACAATATGTGAATCTCTGTTATATGAAATTTGTCGCTCTAAGTTCTTTGGTAAAAAGTGATCATTTTTTGCCCATTCATTGCTTGCCCTAGAAGTTTGTGACACTATGTATTCAGAGGCACCTGAGTATTTACAGAAATCTTTAAATTTTGTCTGAAAATATGGCTCAGCAGACTGACAATATTCAATTTTATTTTCACTTTTGGTAGAAATAACTACTTTTTTCATTCATTTTATTCTTTTTTTACAGTATCTTGCAGATATTCTGGAAAAACTTACTCCAGATGATGTGAGACATCTCATTCAAGCAGAAGACGAATTGACTCAGGCTGGCCGGTAAATATTGAGGGGGGGAAATGTGATTTTGTTTTATTTCCAAAAACCTTGTTTACGACGGGTACTCTTGGAAGTGTTAAAAAATTAAAATTAAGGAAAAAAAGCAGCAGAGTCTTGGCATGTAGAAATGACATGACCTTCACAAACATATTTTATTTTATATTTAAATTATTTAAGAGAGGGAATGTTTCAGTTAAAAAATGTCCAGTTTTCTATTAATTAATTTTCCTTTCTGCTGAGAATTTAATTGAGATTTAACTCCAAATAACCCTGATTTTATAGCAAATGTTGGATTTAATTGTTTTTGGTGCTGTAAATGAAGCAAAGATCTATTAACAAAGGAGGGTACCATCACAATGTTTCTTCTTTGCAGTTTCATTCGGATCTTCCCCACACCTGATACACATCTGTACTTGGAATATTTTGAGTCTCCGAGCTACTACAATCGTCTCTTTGATGCTTGGGAAACAAAATATCATATGAATCGTCAAGAGGGTAAGTGCAAATATTTATTTCAGTATAAATTCAATAACAAATCTGTGATAAGAATTTTTATTTATTTAATTTATTATTATCTTTTTAATTTTATAACTCTATGAATTAACTTTTTACATGACTATCAATCTGTCCTGTTGGACGCAGATTCCTTCAAATTTGCTAGTTAGATTTTTCTAGTTTATGATCTGCTACTTGAATCTGTTGTAGATAGGTGTTTGATTGTGCCCAAGACTGCAATTTGCCAAAATGCATTCATTTTTAGTATTTTAAATGTTTTCACCCTTTTGTTTAAATTTTCTCACTTTAATCTCCCTTACTAGAAAGCAAAATATATCAAGCAGTAGAAATGTTAATTACAAATTGCCCTAAAAAGCCCCTTCCCTAATTATGTAACATTTTATAAAGAGACTAGTTTAGAACAGAGTGAAATGGTTGTTGCAGGGATTGAGAGACTGGAGTATCTGTGTCGCAAAAAACATCATCTTAATGTTCCTCCTGTTAATGCCACTGCCAAGGTGAGTGTCTGATACAGAGAGATCAAAGTAAAATTGTTTTGAACAGAGTTACTATTAATTCTGCATCTTTGCTAGAGTTCAGGTTATAGGAGCGCATGGTAAGTTGGCGAATACTCTTGTTCATAAAGGATCATCTTTTTTTGTAGGGTTCTGATATATCTTTCATTGAGTAATGGTGGTGTACGTGTAACTAAATGTAACTTTCTGCAAGTACTCTCATCCTTTAATTAGCCTTAGAAATTCACTGAAGTTCCTTTTATAGCCGTTTGTACTTTCAAATATCTTGAAGTATTTTATACAAAAGTAAATTTTGAGGGAAAAGTATATACATTTTTAGTTCCACGTACACAGAATTACTAGTTTTGATGCATTTATTAAAACCTTTTCTTATTAAACTTCTTTCAGTACAGTATAATCATTATTCAAAATGGGTTTTAATATGCTTGTCTTCCTTTGAGCATTATTAGTAATTCAGTACAGAATGATTGTAGTCTTTATTCAGAGTACTGTTTTTCATCTCATAGGCATCTTTTTGTGATTTCTTTACTAAAGGACAAAATGTATGGTCTGTTGAGGAAAATTTACTACCAATACAAAAGAGCTGAAAAGAGTAAGTTTCTGATGATTGGTTTAGTAGGTGCCAGCATTAGCCGGGGCAGTTGTGACTTTCTCTTGTGTGTGGATAGAGGGTTGGACTATACTAGCAACTGTTCTTAAAAGTCGTAACTGTAAGTGGTGATCCAGTGGATAGATAAAAGGTAGATTAAGTTCTTAGATATTCCAGATTAGAACGTAGTTAATTTGGCTTGGGTCCGATGTGTCTTGAAAGTAGATATAATGTGTATTAACGAGACTGATTATGAAGCAAATAACCTGTTTGTATGTTTGCCACTGTGTGTACTAATATATATTTTTTTTACTAGAAAACCAAAAGTGAATGAATTGTTACCGAATGGAATGGCCTATAAATACTAGTGTTTTTATTGGGCCATTTTAAGATTTCACTAGTACTTTTCATATGCAAGATATTTGTCTCTATTTATGTCTTTGAACAAGCATAGATTTCTGTGAGATGTCCACGTTATATTACATTAGAATTAATAATGTTCCAAAGTTCTTTCACTCCTGTGTCATGCGTGGAAATACTGAGTAGTTTTTGGTAGTGGAGACACTCGGACTTTTGCCCTACCCCAAACCCCTCCACACTGGAGTGTTGTGTCAGGCGCTGTCGCTGGAGCCGTCAAAGCTCCTCGATAGTGCCTTTTGTGTAGAACAACTCCTGCAGTATGCAGAGGTATTAGCCTTTCTTGGTTGTCTGTCGTAGATGGCTAAGCGACTTAGTGCGTGTTGTAAGTGACATTTGCTACCCACTTTCTTTATATATAAATATAACTCTTATTGTTGTAACTATTGTGGTGGTTGATGATAGTGTAGTGTGCTGGAGGTGGATTGGTGGACTGATTTTTTTCTTTTTATCTGTTTGCCAGAGCCAATATTTTTGAAGTATTTTCTTTTTTATGTGGCTGGCTTAATTTTTAGCTTCTTAAATTTTTTCTCATCTGCTAGGCTTCAGGTAACAGTATGCAAAGGAAAAGAGAATGTATTCTTCATTTGTAATACACTTCTCAACTTTTCAGCCGATCTTATGTTTTAATTTAACTTATGAATATTCTTGAGAAGCTTTCTTTGCATTTTCATCAGTTTGATCAGTTTGTTACCAAAATCACAATCATGTGAAGCCATGGTAGTTTGATTCATAGGTGCTTGGCTCATGACATTTAAGCTGCAGTTCATTTATACATTTTTGATGAAGGCAGTTGTTTTTTTGTTTTTTTGCATATATGCACCTTTTCAGAGCAGCCGAGAGGTTCATTTCCTGGGCCAGCCATGAAACACCTGGGTGCTTTGGCATGGGGGTTCAGTATCCCTTGGCAAAACAGAATCTCCCATGCCAAAAATCCCTTGGAACTGCAGATCGCGCTTCACATCTCCTTTTGCCTGTTCTCTCGAACGTTGAGGGGTCTGTGAAGACCCAGGCTCATGCTCTCGGCTCACTCTCTCCATCTTAAGCACAGTAGAATGTATGCCTGGCTCGTGTTGTAGTGTTGTGGTCGTGGGTAGAGTTTGTCTCAAGAATGAGGTCCCTTCCCTAGTAAACAGGGCTCCTTAGCCTGGCACTGGGGGTTGTTTTGCTCGCTATTTGATGGAGGCTTGTGTTGTGGCTTGTCAGTTACGTGTGTGCGTATGCCCCCGTAGGTGGAGGTGACATATGCCATGGTGGGGCATACGAGTATTTATCTTTATTACTCTCTATATGCATTTGTAATATTGTTGATATTGTCACTTTTCTCTTGGACTTTATAAGGAATGTTGTTTATTTTTCTAGTTCTTGAATTGTATAGTTTCTTTGTAGAGGGTATGTGGTATGAGATGTGATGTGATGTTTGGTAGAAGTATTGCTTTGTATAGATCTAGACAATGCCGTTCAGGTTTTCCAACTTTCTTTGCAAGATGCTATTTATAACTGTAGGATTTTGCAAAGATTTATTTCAGCTAAATAATATATTCTGACACGTATTTGCAGTTGGAAAACACTGAAATATTGTGTGCATTGTTCTTTTTTTATTATTCTTTATATTTAACAAATACATTATTACTTCAGTTTAAAGCAAATAACAACATTCAACTCAAACTGTTTTTCTTCACTTTTTCAAAAGATAAAGAATCCATTAAGAACAGAAGTTATCTCATTATTTATTCATTTCATAATTCATCTGTCATAAGACTGCACATGAATTATCACAATCAAATTATCCAATTAAATACATATCAGTAAACAAGAGACATTGCAAAATAGTTTATTTTATTGTAATATTGTAAAGCGTGTCAAGAGAAGTAAGACCTCTCTGTCCCTGTTTCACAAATGAAAACCAAATAATTTTATTACTGTTTAAAAATAGTGTTTTTTTAGAAAAAAAATTCAAATCAATTAAAAAAAATATTACTAAGCAAATATACTTACTGAATAATATATAAAAAATGAGCTAATAATTGTTAGTAAGTGGGGCTTAGTGTAAGAAAAACATTATTATTTTAAGAGAGAGCAATTGTTAATGGGTAATTATGGAGTTTTATAGCAATGGATTACTAATTAAGTGGGGATTGTGCTTGTGGAATTGTCTGATATCGTCTGCACAATTTGGTGTTGTCGGTCAATCTTGCTTGTTGCTTGCTAACATCGTGGCTCAATGTTAATAGCAGAAACGCTGCCTTGCGCACCACTACTTCTCCACCAGTAACATTGTGCATTCCACTTGCAGTTCTCTGTCAGTCAGCAAGTCCTCCCTGCCGAAGAAGGAATGGACGACATGGGTTTAGGGTTGGAAAAGACGTCCACTGAAGACATGACAACAACAACCGAAAGGTAAAGGTCTTTATTTTTCTTATGCTCTGAAATCTTCTTGCTGATATCTTTCTCTGAATGTGTTCAGAATAACCCTCTCATACTGAACTATCATGATGTTGTTAGGCTTAGTTGCAAGTTCGAAAATATTATTTGACGGATGCGTGTGTAAAAGGAGATAGTCAAGTTTTTGTCTGAAACAAATATGCTAGGACATTGCTTTACTACAAAACTGTCATTGTGTATTGCAGAATAAGTGACAGTGACAGTGACATTTCAATTTTGTCTTTGCAGTTTAATGTACACAATAATAATGTCGTAATAATGCAATGTTGTGTCATACTCAGTTTGGGCAAAAATTTGACTTGTCTCCTTGTACGCTTGCAGCCGCCATTTATGATCTGGTCTTCAGTACTTGTTCTTCTATTAGAAGGATAGTTCTGTCTTGTAGGTGTAGTGATGATGAATAAGAAAGGCGAGGGCAAGCATGTGTAATAGAATAATTTCTTCAGCATTGTGGTGCTGGGTATAAATGAACAATTGAATGAAGTTTGAATGTCCAATTTGTAGACGTTTTTGAAATTTTGCTTCAAAAGTAGTCTTTGCGTATTTTATGAATTAGAGACAGTGTATGTTGAAGTATTAAATTATTTCTTTTTGGGATTCCTAGATTGTGTGCTCTTCAGAACAAGTTTTACTTCGTTGAATATTTTCATGGCAACCAAAGTTTTTCTTCAGTATTTAATGAAAAGTGTTAAAGAATTGCACTGCAATTCTAAATATGCTACACTCCTCAGCTGTAGAATAATATCAAAGACCGACTGAATCATTGAAGATCTCGTGAGATAGGAAAATTAACATTTATGATTGTAAAGAAATAAAGCCCCAAATCTCTTACCCCAAAGCATTCAATTGTGCTCAAATTAGAAATAATGTTTACCAGAAGATCCCTCTATAAAGAAAAGTATGTTTCGTGCATCTAGTAGAGTAGTTTGAAGAAATAAAAACAGCTGTATTTCCCACACGATACCTTTGGGGCTTACTTGACATTAAGCCGGTATGAATACTGGAACTGCACAAGTATTCCATTTTGCCTTACTGTCTTCAGCAACACCTGCTCCATTTCTTGCAGGAAGTCTCAGAATTTACAAACTTCTTGGGGGTGTAGGGAGTGGTTTTTGTCAATGAGCTTGAGATGGAACTTTTCATACAACACAGGTGACATTTGCAAGTGATTGGTAGACATTATGCAGAAGTATTGGCACAATGGCAGTCGAACGAATTATATTTACCCACCAAACACCAATGTGTGCTGACAATCAGGTGCAAATGTCAGATATTTCTTCTAATTTTCATTTAACTTAGTTATATGAATTTTCCCTCCTCATGTTTATTGACAACCAGTGGTCTTTTTCGACCATAGACCATGCCCATAAGTTTCTAGCATTTATTCTGAAACTTTATTATGAGGACTGATGTAGTTATTGATGTAATTAGAAGATCAACCGGTCGCATTATTTGTTGTATAGGCGTGTCCTGTTCAAAACTTTGTATATTACATTGTAAAAAAATATAAATGAGAAATACCTTTCCTTTGTTTAGATATGTATTGGCAATATAACAGCACAGCACGTCGAAAAACTTTTATCCAGCCCTGCCTTACTTCAAATTGTGAAATTAACCCTTACGAACCAGAGAGTCTCGAAACTTTTACTTGCTTTGTATGGTGGGTTGCCTATCCTTTCAGGCTCCGCCTCAACTTTTTTTAGACCGAATGAAATGAGTTCAAGGAATCAAAGTCGTCTGTCTCGGAATGATGGATGTAATGCTCTTACCCACGCGCAGTGGCCAACAGTCAGGGAATGTGGGATATTCGTTGGAAACCGAGGAATTCTATATTCCTTGGTAAAGCCCTGGAATTTTTTGGAAATTAGTTGCTAGTCAGTGGATTGTTGTGTTAACAAGAAGACGGGATGTATCTTGCGTATAATATAAAACGATAAACCCGCATTCGTTCAGACCTGGAGAAGACTTTCACAGGACCCCAATGTCAGGAGGGAGTGAAGCAATAGTCATTGAGAAAACTTCAATATATTTTGATACCATTATATGAAGAATATGTGAACATCAAAAGAATGCAGGTGTTAGGAAAGCGACTTATTTTTCAGCGGTAACTTCCCAAAAGTTTGAAGCGTATATTCCACTTGCTTCCGACCTAACAACTTGCACACACGTTAGCCCTCGTACGCTGGAGAAAGACGTGTGGGCGAGCGGAAAGCGTGAAATCACAAGAGCCTTGATATTAATAGTCCGGCGCCAAGTGCTCGAAGTCGACTCGACTCGAATTGAATGGAATGGAACCCTGTCGTGCCGAGCACGACAGGTTCGCGTGACCCGTCAAGCGTCTGAGGAAATTGGTTCTCCTCGCCGGGGGAGACGCCAGCCGGTGACATTCAAACGGATACTCGCGGCCCCGAAAGACAACACACTACAGAGTGCTACGTCCAGGATATTACGCGAATTGTTCCGAACATCTGCGAAGACCGCATCGCTCTGAGAAATGTGTTCTTCTGACAGCTGTGTGGACTGGAGCGCCATTGTCAGCTGTGTGTCTTTTCAGTGCCCTCAATTGTATGTTTGGAATAGTTTTTACGAATCTTTTACATTGTTCCAAGAGCACATCTAAAAAGAATTTGTAAGAATTGATACAAATTGTCAAAAACTAGAGGAGAAACGTTATGCACTCGTTTACTTCAGTCAGGCATTTAATGAAACTCGGAAATACTATATTTTAATTGCAGAATTATTAATAAATATAAAATATCTTTAAAAGGAAGTTTTCAAGTGTACTTTCGTTGCATTCTAGCTACATACAAGATATCATGCAAACGTTCACCAGTTGACGGAAAAACAAACATGAGGCGTACGGCAGCTTCAGAACACAAGTCAGCGAACGTTTCTGAAGGGAATGCAAATCACCGATCATGCTCCCCAACTTGGCTTGACATCAATGAGTGTCAAAAATTAATCGGTGACGTAGGTGAACTGACGGTAGCGGCAGCGTAAAAGCGTCTTTAGGGTTCGACGCTCCCTTTCCATACACAGCGTTTGTAAATCGGCCGGCCCGGCGGTGTAGGCGCTTGGGACACGTGAATGGGCGTTTCCAGTGGTTCTGGTACACAGGAAACGCCGGGGGGGGGGGGCGTCTGGGGATGGGGTAGAGCAATGTTGCTAAATGCTCGGACAGCAGACACGTCGTGTGGCCGTTCTTTCATCAGATCATAACAGTAGCAAGAAAGAAATCGCAAAGGGAGCATACAACAAAGGGCGAGACAGAACCGCACCCACCACGTGATGGCGCTCCTAAGTTTTCAGTAGTTTGGCTCCGTAAGAGTTCGTTTTCTTTTTGTAATGTTTTTCTCTCTTCTTCTTTTTAATAAGTATCGGCAACTCTGCGAGTGGCGTTATCAGAATTTGAAGCCTCCAAGTGGATAACGGAACCCCCTCTCCCTCGTTAGCCGTTACCTGTCAAGTAGCCAGAAATGTTATTCGGACCGTACGGAATACTGGTCCTGCTTGGTGAGCTGCTGTGGTGCTCCCGGTTGCGTGGCAGCGACTGCTTGGCTGTCGGGAGGCGGCGCTCGCGTGCCGCCGCGCCGGGCGCTGGGAATAGCAGGCGGAGGGCGGCTCGGGGCGGCGCCAGGTTCTTAGTCCATTGAGTGCGAGCCGGGACCCAATGAAGCCGTTTCTGCTTTAAAACTTCTTCATAACTTCGGGGAACTTGTTACACGGAATTCGCGGTTTTGAGAAGAGACTCAGTGTGAGCTACAAATGCCCCGTTTGTTTATAGAAGCGGACTTTTCGTTATTGTCTTTTTTTATTATAAATTACCGATGTTGTTGCCTTGGATGGAAATGAATCTTCAAGAAGTTCGGTATTGCCCATGATTGATTGATTGATTGATTAGTGATTTCGGCCGCGTCAGGAGCTAAGGGGTTATTAATCCCGTTAGTTTACTGGGATGTTTTTTATCCTGGGAAGTGACGGTGATCTTTCCTCGCTGGATGGCGAGAACAGGCACCGACCTACTGTCTCCTTGCGGGAGGTTTTCTCAACTAGGTATCTCCCACCAGCGAGCCACCAGCATTTAGCGATCTCGGCTAAATCGGCATCTAGTTTTCAGGACATTCAAAACTTGTTTAAATGTTTAGTTCGTTTAGATTGTATTTGTTGATGGATGTTTAGATTGTTTTTGCCTATCGACGAAATAAAATTCGCGATATAAGACAAGTAAGATAAAAACAATGTTGACTGTCCCATTTTAGGTGCAAGTGCCTTGGGTTATCCTATTATCTATCAAAGAAGGAAGCGTGTTGTGTTGATTGAAAACGTGTATCATAATCCGTAGACAAATCTGAAGAACTTCGAGTAATGCTTGCTAGTGTCGCATTGCGGGTCTGCACGCCGCATTGCAGCATTGCAAGTTGTGCGTGACGTCTGAAATAAAGTCGCCGGGGGCAATATTGATCAAAGAACAGAAATACAGAACGCCCACTTCGTGCGTCTTCGCTTTCAAATAAATACATGGGAGTTGTGCGCCAAAAAACGTTTCGGGAAATTGCTCCCCTTAACAATGAATGGGGTCATTTAAGAGGTAAACGTATGTTAAGTTGGCAAGGTGCAATGAGCTATTAGTTTTAATTTAGTTTCATTACGTATATTTGTAGAAAACAACACAAGTTTTCTGTTGTAACTTCTTGAGCGCGCACGCACGGGGTGTTAATTTCGAGATATTTCCGGACGAATGCCCTTTGGGGCTGTCCATAAATTACATGACCAAATTTGGGAGTATTTTGAACCCCCCCCCTCTCTCCCATGTAACTCACCTGTAACCAGGATCCCCCCTCCTAAACGCATCTGAAACCAATAAGATTGGGGACAATTTTTGAGTGAAGGAAGGGTGGAGCAACCGCCGTCTTGGATAATGAATGGGCGGGCGACTATTGTGTCTCTTCTATTGG